TCCCCTAAGCCTTGCAATTTTTGAGAAAAGAGCCCCCTTTTCCTCAAAAATAAAACCCAAATGCAAATTATAGGAGCATGAGAATAAACCTGGCTGGGCTGGAGAGGGTGACAGCAACATGCAAGAAGGTACAGACATGCTGATGTCATGAAGTGCCAGCTGTGAGACCCACTACCAGGGCTGGGGGCTCCGAGCTGATGCCTCTTGGATTTGGGCACGTGTGGGAAGAAGGTTGGGGCTTCTGGAGAAACGTGAAGGGGGATGAGCAAGTTGGGCAGCAGCTCTATTCCAGACTGTAGGGCAGGAGAACAGGAAACTGAGCCAGTGGCAAGGACCAAGGGGGACTGTAAGGGAGAAATTCAGTGTTCCCAAGGAGGGAAGGACCTCCTTCCAGTGACAAAGGACCCTTGGTGGTGGGCAGGCAGGGCCGGTGGAGTCCGGTTCAGCCCCAGAGAGGCCTCCAGGCATTTCAGAGCCCTTAGCAGCCAGGGCCTGGCCGGGGGCCCAGCATCCTGTGTTTAGGGGGTGGGGGCACCAGGTTGAATAGAAGTCTGTCCAGACTGGTAAACATCAAGCGGCCCTCCTGCGGGAGCCTTCAGAATGAAGTATTTAACCCTCGCCCTGCAGGGAACAAGCCCAGCTGATTCTAAATCAGGGAGAGAAAACCGAAGGGAAGAGACAGGAGTCTGGCCCAAGCTGGTCGGCGGTCTGGCCAAGGCTCCCAATGACCCTGAAGAAGCGTCCAGATGTGCCAGAGGCAGGGTGAGGGGTTGAGACGCCTCCCACCCCACAAGGAGGGGAAAGGAGAGGAGGGGGATGAGGCCTCGCTCTGAGCTGCGGCCGGCGGACTGAACAGCAGCTCCTTGTCCGTCGGCGGCTACGACCCGCTCCGCAAGTCAGGCCTGGATTGAGGTTTTTGCAGAACAAACGGCGTCCTTGTGGTGCGGGCCGGCGCCGCCTACTGGCGACGGGGGCACTACATCTCTGGGCACCCCAGTCCCCACCCCCACCACAGCGCTCACAAAGTTCTCCTTTGTCCGCCGCCTCCCTCCCGCCCTGGTCCCGGGTTAGAGACTCACGTCGATGCCGTCGGATCCAGGCACTCCCGGCGGTCCCGGGGGGCCCGGGGGGCCCCGTTCTCCCGGTGGACCTCTCTGAAAACACACACGGCGGGGGCAGTCCTCAGACAGTGCGGGAAGCTGGGCGTCCCCGGGGCTGCAAGCGACCCTGGGAGCGGGGTCCTAGGGGCGCACCTCCTCCGTGAACTCCCACGTATTGAGAACCTTCTGCATATCAGGCACTGTGTGCTATTACATGCATTATCTTAACGAATACTCAGAACCGGGAGGCGGGCGCTGTTACGGGCCGCCGTTTGCAGTCGCAGAAACTGGCTCTGAACATGAAGGGTCCATGGTCACTGAGAGTGGGGGTGGCGCCAGGACTCCGCCCTGGATGCCGACTTCTACTGTGCCAGGTTGCCCTTGCGCGGTGGCGGTGGGGAATAGCTGGAGACGTGGGCAGCTCAAATAAATCACAGATGGAATGCAAGGTTGTGCCTAGCAGGCTGCCGGCCCTCAGTGAGCGGTGACTCGGGTTATTGTTCTTACGCGAACCACAGGCAGAGACAGCGCCTCCTTCTCTCCCCATGGTGCGGGAAAACCCGACGGGAAAGTGGGGGAGGCGCAGGGAAAGGAGGTGTAGGGAGGTGAAGCGGGTACTCTCTTCCCACTCGGAGCGCCCCTCCCGCAGCACAACTGCCGGGTCCTCCCTCCGCTAAGTCCTGACTGCTGCGGGCAAGCAGGAGGAGCTTGCACCTCCCAGAAAGCAGACCCTCTCCGTGGACCCCGGTTGCCTGCAATTCAATGCAGGTAGGTGTGAGGTTTCAGGGAGGTCACAAGTCATATCAAGGTGAGGGGAGCTCACAGCTGGAGAATTTCCGTCCTGCTGCCCATCTCTGAACAGATCAAAGATCTTAAAAGGCGGCCCTTTTCAGAAGCCAGCTCGGACCCAGGCAGGGATCCCGGTGCCCACCACCTCCCCAGGCCGCGAAGTGCCAGGCTGGCGCCCCGCAGGCGAGCTCGGAACCACACCCAGCACCCCACGGGGCCCAGTCTCTGCCCTACCCGCGCGCCCGCAGCCCCCCGGCGGCCCTCGGAAGGGAGACGTGGGTTGGCGGGCAGGGCCGAGAGGCCGCCTAGGGGCGATAGCGGCGTCTGGTTGGAGCCGGCGCCCCCTGGGAGGCGGCGGGGGCGGAGGCTGCGCAGCGGGTGAATGAGCACCATTGTATGCCCTGCCACCTGGGCTCCCCAGGCTGCCAGGACCGGGCGCCAGCTCCTGCCCCACGCTGCCTGTCCCAGGCAGGGCCGCGCGTCTCGGGACGGGTCCCCTCTGACTCTCCGACTCAGCCACCTCCATTCACGGTGCCGCGATGGGCACCATGTATGCACCCACCCAGGGGACCTGCCGGCGGCGCTGTCCTCAGGTGGCCCCTCGGGCTAGGGTTGTCAGTAGGCGCGGGACACAGGCAGAGCTCCTCCATCCCGGACCCCAGACCCTGCACCCTGGACCCTGGCAGCGGAGGGGCTGCGAGACTTACGATCTGCGCCAGAGCGAGCACTAGCACCTGGAGAAGAACAAGGAGGCAGCGGGGGGCGGCCGCAGCAACGGCCATGGCGGGCGGCGAGGTCAAGGGGGACGGGTGCGGGTCCGCGCACGCACCGACGGCAGAGGCTCCTGGCGCTGGCTGTTCGCGGGCGGGGTGGGCCGGGGCTCCTGAATATGCGGGGGGCGGGGCGGGGGCCGGCGTGAGCTGTCACCTGAGAGGACCGGCCGGGTTGCGGGGAGGGAGGCCGGCGCCCGGCATCCAGCTCCGCCCCGCTCGGTCCACCCTCTATGCTCTGCCCGGGCTTCCCGGGCGCCTTAGCCTGGTAATCCGAGGGGCGACCGGGGTGCCGGACGGAGATGATGGTCCTGTTTCTTTGTGAGGAGGCATAAGGCCGTCTGAGGTCCCCCTCAGGACCTTCAGGCCCCAGCACCTTCCCCCGACGCACAGCTTGTGCCCCATCACTTACCCCACGTCCTCTCCAGGGCCCAGGCCGAGAACGCCTCGGTCTCTGCAGACCTTACTGCAGGCTCTCCCCAGCTCCCGCCCACCTTGCTCCCCTCTCCTCTGGCTCCTTCCTCTCCAAGCACAAATAGGCCTTTTTCATATTAATATGCCACAGCCCTTCCTGGATCAGCCGTCTCATGAATACTCCATCGGCCTCTTCCAGCTCTTTAGTGGAGCTGTGTGCACCTCCCCCAACCCCCAACTTCCTCACCTCGCTTTCACCTCCCTACCTCTGTCCCAACAAGCAGATCCGTCTCCTGGGGGTCTCCAGTGAAGCCCAACCCTTCTTCAGTCCTCCAGGCAGGAAGCTGTTGGCATCTTCACCTGACCTTGAAGTCTTCCCCATCCAAGCTCCTGCCATCCAGCTCCCCTTTTTCTATTCCCTTTTATTCTCTGCAGCTGCCTTAAGCACTGGTGTGTTTAGGATTGGGCCTTCTCACTCCATGTTCATAGAAACAACTACCACTTTATTCACCAGAGTTTCCAAACCCCACTGTCCAGCATAGCCTGACTCCAGAGAGCCTTCCCTTCCCTACCACTCACTTAAGCAATATTGGTAAAATGCTTTGGAATCTGACTTTGTCACAATTATACATATGACTACAGGCACCTAAAACTCTATGAAGTATCAGTTTCCTCATCTGTAAAATGGGGATACTAATAGTCTATATATCTGTATAGTCTATATATCTAATATATATATGTATTTTTTAAAGACAGTCTTAAAAGGCTCTGGAGTGCAGTGGTGCGATGTCAGCTCACTGCAACCTCTCCTCCCGAGTTCAAGCGATTTCTCTGCTTCAGCCTCCCGAGTAGCTGGAATTACAGGCATGAGTCACCATGCCTGGCTAAGTTTTATATTTTTAGTAGAGATGGGGTTTTGCCATGTTGGCCAGGCTGCTCTTGAACTCCTGACCTCAGGTGATCCGCCTGCCTCAGCCTCCCAAAGTGCTGGGATTACAGGCATGAGCCACCGTGCCCGGCAAATAGTCCTTATCTTAAAGGGGTTTTATGGAGATTGAATGCGATGACTCATGTGAGGCGTTTAACCTCGAACCAGCACATAGTAGGTGCTTGATGCAGTTTGGCTTTCATTGTTATTTATGGATAGCTGTTTTACTAGGTTGGCATCCAATGCGGGGAAGCTGGCCACAGGCAGATCTGCTGAAATGATGAATCTAGTTGGAGCTAGAAAAGTCCAGCTCCACAGGGCATGTTAGCAAAGGGCTCTGGACTTTGAAAGGTTGTCCTGGAGCTGAGTTTGGGAGAAAGAGTTTGAGAGAATGTAATTGTTCTGCCTAACAGAGTGAAGAATTTGAAGTTTGTAGGAAGATGAGAGCAGGAGGAGGAGGATGTAAGAGAGGGATGGTAGGCATTGCTTGGGGTGGGTGGGGTAAATCTATAAAGGATTTTTGGAACTGGGATGTCCAAATTTAATTTTAAGTTGTTGGTTTCACATCATTTATCTCTTCATCTTTTGTGGCTAACCACAAAGAAGGCCTTGTGTGAGTAAGTTTTCTTTTGTGTGTGGAAATTATGGAAAGGGGATGAGATTCACAGTCTGGACAGCACACATTGGTGTATTAATTACCTATTGCACCATAACAAATCACCCTAACATTCAGCAGCTTAAAATGACAATTTCAGGCCGAGCACGGTGGCTCAAGCCTGTAATCCCAGCACTTTGAGACGGGCGGATCACGAGGTCAGGAGATCGAGACCATCCTGGCTAACACGGTGAAACCCCGTCTCTACTAAAAAAATATAAAAAATTAGCTGGGCAAGGTGGCGGCGCCTGTAGTCCCAGCTGCTCGGGAGGCTGAGGCAGGAGAATGGCGTGAACCCGGGAGGCGGAGCTTGCAGTGAGCTGAGATCCGGCCAGTGCACTCCAGGCTGGGCGACAGAGCCAGACTCCGTCTCAAAAACAAACAAACAAACAAACAAACAAACAAAATGACAATTTCTTTGGATTAGGAATTCGGGAGTGGCTCTGCTGGTTCGGTCTGGCTTGGGGTCTGTTATGAGGTCACAGTCAGATGGTGGCTGGGCCTGATGTCGCCTAGAAGGCTTCTTAACTCACATGTCTGATGTCTGTACTGGGATGCCTTCAACCGCTGGTGCTGGAACAGCTGGAGTTGCTTGGACAGTTCTCTCCTTTATCCCTTTGTGGGCTTTCCATAAAGTCTCTCCAACATGGCGGCTTCAAGGTAGCTGAACATCCTCTGTAGCAGCTCAGAGGCAGTAGGAGAGCACCAGACTGAAGAGAATTGCCTCTCAGGACCCGTCCTTGGAAGTCATGCAGTGGCACCTTCACTACATTCTTACTGTTGAGGCAATTACAAAGATCTGCCTGGGATCAAGGGGAGGGAACAGAGACCCCACCTCTTCAAGGATAAGTGTTAATGTCACTTTTTTTTTGAGATGGACTTGCCCTGTTTACCCCAGGCTGGAGTGCAGTGGCACGATCTCAGCTCACTGCAACCTGCTCCTCCTGGATTCATGTGATTCTCCTGCCACAACCTCCTGAGTAGCTGAGATTACTGGCATGCGCCACCACACCTGGCTCATTTTTGTATTTTTAGTAAAGACAGGCTTTCACCATGTTGGTTAGGCTGGTCTTGAACTCCTGACCTTGTGATCTGCCCACCTCGACCTCCCAAAGTGCTGGGATTACAGGCGTGAGCCACCGCGCCCGGCAAATTGTGGGTTTCTAATCTTCTGGTCTATAGATTGCTGCTTAGAAAAAATCAAAATTGGAAAATTGCAGCTAGTATTTCCTCAAATATTGGTTGTTCTCCACAATCTCTCTCTCTTATCTTTGTGGAACTCCAGTTATACATATATTAGATCTTTTAACAGTGTCTATTAGGCCGTAAAGATTGTGATCACTTTTTTTTTCAGTTTTTTCTCCCTCTTTGCTTCAGTTTGGTTGATCCCATTAACTTGTATTTACACTTAAGGGTTATTTCTTCAATTATGCCAAATCTACTCAATACATCCAGCACATTTTAAATTTCAGATATTGACTGGGTGTGGTCGCTCATGCCTGTAATCCCAGCACTTTGGGAGGCCGAGGTAGGCAGATCACAAGGTCAGGAGATCGAGAACAGCCTGGCCAACATGGTGAAACCTTGTCTCTACTAAAAATACAAAAATCAGCTGGGTGTGGTGGTGGGCGCCTGTAATCCCAGCTACTTGGGAGGCCAAGGCAGGAGAATCATTTGAACCTGGGAGGCGGAGGTTGCAGTGAGCCGAGATTGCGCCATTGCACTCCAGCCTGGGCGACAAGAGTGAAACTCTATCTCAAAAAAAAAAAAAAAAAAAAAGAAAAGAAAAGCAAAGAAAAAAAGAGAAACATTTTGCTAGAGATCCTATTTGTAGCCTATCTCAGAGATCCTTAGCTCAAATAAAAAACCTCCTTGATGAGTTTCAAGTCAAGGCTAAATTTTAAAAGAAAAAAACCTTCTTAAGGTTTTTGTTGTTGTTTTGTGTCTTTTTTCTTTCTTTCTTTCTTTTTTTTTTTTTTGGTAGAGATAGGACCCCACTATGCTGCTCAGGCTGATGTTGAACTCCTGGGTTCACGTGATTCTCCTGCTTTGGCCTTCCTTCCAAAATGTGGGGATTACAGGCGTGAGCCACTGTGTCAGGCCCTTCTTGAGCTTTTCTTTCATTCCTCTCTTCTTCCTCTTCCTTCTTTTCTCTCTTCTCTCTTTCCTTTCTTCCTCTTTCTCTTTCTTCTTTCCAAAATATTTACCAAACACTTTCTCTGTTTCTAGGCACTGCTCTGTTTAAAATAGAAGGTGCAATTATCCCCAGCAAACTCCTGTTCATCCTTAAAGACACCACCTCCAGAAAGTCTCTTCAGGATCAACAAGCTGGATTAACACAGAGAACATGATTGAAAACTATTTTTATTTTTTTATCCTACAAATATTTGTTGAGGACGTTATGTGTCAGGCCTGTAGTGTGAGAAGATAATTAAAGGACATCATCATGAAGGCAGCAGCTAAGAACTACCATTTATTATTATTATTATTATTTTCATTATTTGGGGACCAAATCTCACTCTGTTGCCCAGGCTGGAGGGCAGTGGCATGATCTCGGCTCATGATGCAGCCTCCACCTCCTGGGTTCAAGTGATTCTCTGCCTTAGCTTCCCAAGCAGCTGGGACTACAGGCCCACACCACCATGCCTGGATAATTTTTGTATTTTTAGAAGAGATGGGGTTTCACCATGTTGGTCAGTCTGGTCTTGACCTCCTGACCTCAGGTGATCCACCCACCTCAGCCTCCCAAAGTGTTAGGAGACAACCTCCGCCTCCCAGGTTCAAGCGATTCTCCTGCCACAGCCTTCCAAGTAGCTGGAATTACAGGCACCCGCCACCATGCCCAGCTAATTTTTTGTATTTTTAGTAAAGACGAGGTTTCACCATGTTGGCCAGGCTGGTCTCGAACTCCTGACCTCAGGTGATCCTCCCGCCTCAGCCTCCCAAAGTTTTGGGATTACAGGCATGAGCCACCACGCCTGCAGTGACTATTAATTTTGTGTACTGATTTTATGTATCATCTTGACTGGACTAAGGGATATTAGGTGGTAAAACATTATTTCTAGCTGTGCCTTTGAGGGTGTTTCTGGAAGAGTTAACTCATTTAAATCAATAGACTGACAGCAAAGAAGATCCACCTTCATCTATTTGAGTGGGCAGCATCCAATCCACTGAGGGCTTGAATAAAAAGGCAGAGGAAGGGTGAATTCTCTGTCCTTGAGCTAGGACATCTATTTTCTCTTCCCCTTGGACATCAGAGCTCCTGGTTCTTGAACAAGTTTCCCTCCCCGACCCCACTTTCAGGCCTTCCACTGGGGACTAAATTACACTACCGGCTTTCCTGGTTCTCAGCTTGCGGATGGTTTATCTTTGCACTTCTTGGCCTTTGTAATGCATGAGCCAACGCCCATATTAAATTTCCTCTTATGTATCTATATATATCCTATTGGTTCTGTTTCTCTGGAGAATCCTGACAAATACGACAATAATATTTACATTTAAATATTTATATTATCATAGTTATTGTTTATAACAATATTTATTAAGCATTTGCTATACGACAGATATTGTATCAGTGTGGCACATGCATTTTGTGTTTAACTCCTCACAACCACTCAACGAGGTAGGTCCCTTGATTATCCTCATTTTATTTATTTATTTGTTTTTAATAGAGATGAGGTCTCACTATGTTGTCCAGGCTGGTCTTGAACTCCTGGGCTCAAGCGATCCTCCCACCTTGGCCTCCCAAAGTGCTGGGATTACAGGTGTGAGCCACTGTGCCCAGCCTATTATCCTCATTTTATTTACAAGAAGATTGAAGCTTAGAGGCGTGAAGAGATTTCCACAAGGACACACGGCTGTTTCCCACAGTTTCTACCGCTGGATAGGTCTCAGTAACATACATTTCACCCGTCTTCCACTAAGGCCACAGCATAGGGTTGTGCATTTTAGGATCTACACAAAAAGGGAGGACAGAGGAGTGGGGCTGAGATCCAGCCTGGCGACATTTGCCACAACATTTTATTTTGTTGTTTCTAGCCTTTCTCAGAGAAGTCTTAGGATCTTCTGTTTAACTTTAGCCCTGGGCTGCTCCAGTTTACACTCCTCAGATCTCTAAATTTATTTGTTTATTTACTTACTTATTTATTTATTTTTGAGACTGGCTCTGACTGTTGCCCAGGCTGGAGTGCAGTGGTGCCATCTCGGCTCACTGCAACCTCCGCTTCCTGGGTTCAAACCTCAGCTCCGGCCTCAGCCTCCTGAGTAGCTGGGATTACAGGAGCGCACCACCATGCCCGGCTAATTTTTGTATTTTTAGTAGAGATGGGATTTCACTGTGTTGGCCAGGCTGATCTCGAACCCCAGGCCTCATGTGATTCACCTGCCTCTGGCCCCCACAGTGTTGGGATTACAGGCTTGAGCCACCACGCCCGGTCAAATCTCTAATTTCTAACCTTCCAAACTCCCAATCCTTTCTTCCCACCTCTGATAGGAAGGAGAGGTGGGCTGGAGGGCAAGAAGAAAAGGCCCGGCTCCCTTCCCCACCAGCTACTCCTTTAGTCACTCCAGGTGAGCAGTAAATTAGGCTGGTTGGTGCTCTCGCGGCACCTAGTGGTCTTCTGCGGCGGCACACCATGATGACTGCTTGACAAGACGAATTAAAAGCCCCTTTCTCCGGGAGCTCCTAGCGAGATGAAACGGAGATAGAGGCTGATAAAGCACTATAGGAACCCAACGAGGGAGCAATCGTGGTTTCTGGGGAATTAGAATTTAGAATTTGGATTCAGCTAGACTTGGATCCTGGTTCTGCCACATACTGACTGTGACCTTGGGCAAGTCATTTCACCTCTTTAAGCCTCGGTTTCCTCAGTTGTAAGATGGGGAGAATATCAGTGCCTCTCGATGACCATGAAGTACTTAGCACAGTGCTCAGAACGCTTTGGATATTCGTTTTGGGCAGAAGGAACTTTGTTTTGTTTGTTTGGGACGTAGTTTCGCTCTTTGGCCCAGGCTGGAGTGCAGTGTGGCAATCTCTGCTTACTGCAACCTCTGCCTTCCGGTTTCAAGCGATCCTTCTGCCTCAGCCTCCGGAGTAGCTGGGATTACAGGCGCCTGCCACCACACTAGGTTAACTGGCAGAAGGAACTTTGTAAGAAAGGCAGGGAGTGGGATGAATATTCAGAAAACAGAGTAGGTGACAGATGATCCGCCTTCCCTGCTAGAGAAGAGCAAACACAGCTGGTCAGTCCCGTGGAGCAAGTTGGGGCGGGGCTGCGTCTCTTAATTACAGCACAGTGAGAGGACCTGGAACCCCTTCCTGGGAACAGCTGCCCATTCTGGGCTGAGCTGGAATCCTAAACAGGTTTGCTCACCTGGACTCTGGCTGCCCTTATATACCTGGGCAGAAAATACCAACCATCAGTTTCCCACAAGTGCTTCTTTCTCCAGGTAGAACAGAGCTCCTCCAAACTCCTCAGAACTGCCAATCCTGACCGTGGTTTCATCTGACCTCCCACTTGTTCCATCTAATTCCTTCCCAGTGCTGGCCCAACACTGATAAGCTTTAGTGTCAGCTTACATGAACTACACTCCCCTGGCTTTCCTCCTACCTCTCCAGCTGTTCTTTCTCAGGCCCCTTGTAGATTTGTTTTCTTTGCACACCCTTACTTAGCACTCTACAAGGTCCGGTCCTGTCTTCTTATTCTTCATACTCTTCCTGGGCCATCTTATCCATCAGGTTGACTTTAACTACTACCTATATGTTTTCCCGAGTCTCAGACCTGCTTATCCAACTGCTTCTCGGATGTTCCACAAGCACCACCAACCTGACATGTCCCAAATAAAATTATCTTCTTGCCCACAAACCTGTTCCTCTTCCTGTGTGGCCTACACAGCCAGTGGTCCCACCGTCTGTCCTATTGCATGAGCCAAAACTATGGATGTCATCCTGGAGAAGAGACTTCCCTCTCTCCTCCCTGAGAAATATCATCGCCTTGTCCCAATGACTATACCTCATAGGTGTTTAATCCATCCACCTATCTCCATCCCCACTGCACCTGCCTCATTCAGCATACCATCCTCTTTTGCTTGGGGTATTGCAACTGCCTCTTATTTTAACTCCTTGCTTCTAGTTTTGCTCCATTGTTTTCCCTCTGTGTTCCTTTCTGAAGGCTCAAGGAGATAATTCATGCCCAGCCTTTCCCACCTTCTAGAGGCTTCCCACTTTCCTTGGTTTCCTCTTCTTCCATCTTCAAAACCAACAAAGTTATGTCTTACTGACCATACTATAGTAAAATCTCCCTGTGCTTCTCTCTTCTGTCTTCCCCTTCCACTTTTTTTTTTTTTTTTTGACGGAGTTTCACTCTTGTTGCCCAGGCTGAACTACAATGGCAAGATCTTGGCTCACTGCAACCTCCGCCTCCCAGGTTCAAGTGATTCCCCTGCCTCAGCCTCCTGACTACCTGGGATTACAAGTACTCGCCACTACGTCTGGCTAATTTTGTATTTTTAGTAGAGACGAGGTTTCACCATGTTGGCCAAGCTGGTCTCGAACTCCTGACCTCAAGTGATCTGCCTGCGTCGGCCTCCCAAAGTGTAGGAATTACAGGCATGAGCCACCGTACCCGGCCCCCTTTCCACTTTTAAGGACCCCTGTGATTATTGGGCCTATTAGGTAATGTAGGATAATCTCCCTGTCTCATAATCCTTAGTTTAATCAATTCTTCATAGTCTCTTTTTGCCATGTAATGTAACAGATTCACAGGTTCTGGAGGAATCTTTGGTGGGTCATTATTCTGCCTACCACAGACCATTCTCTGGTCCCAGTACTCATATCTGTCTCACATACAAAATGCATTCACCTTATTCCAAGGTCCCTGAAAGTCTCAGCCCATTAAAGTATCAACTCAAAGGTCACAGTCTCATTTACATCTCATTAGCTCAAGAGTTTCAAATTTATCATAGATATTATCTAAATTAGGTATTGGATGAGACTCAGCATAATCTATCCTGGGGCAAAGTTTCTCTCCATCTGTGGACATGTGAAACTAGAAAATAAGCTTCTGCTTCCAAAATATGATAATGGGTCTAGCGGAGGATAACACTTATAGACATTCCCATGTAAGAGGAGAGAAAGGAAGAGATAGAGGGGTCACCAGTCCCAAGCAATTTCAAAATTAAGTTAGACAAACTCCATTAGGTTTCAAAGCCTGGAAATAATACTTTGCGGCTCAGGACTCTGCCCTCTGGTCTCCCAGCTCTGTCCTCTGAGTCATTCTTCCTTTTTCTTTTCTTTTTTTTTTTTTTTTTTGAGACGGAGTCTGGCTCTGTTGCCCAGGCTGGAGTGCAGTGGCCGGATCTCAGCTCACTCACTGCAAGCTCTGCCTCCCGGGTTCACGCCATTCTCCTACCTCAGCCTCCCGAGTAGCTGGGACTACAGGCGCCCGCCACGTCGCCT